CCCTTGACTTTGGAGCCCATCAGCACAAACCTGACGATGCTTGTGTGACTCCAGCCCTGGAGAAGCTAGCTGCGAGCCTGGCTAATCCATGCGCTGGCACGGCGCTGCTGCGTGGCCATGTGTTCCTGCAGAGAGCACCATTCCCCCAGGAGCTGCTGTCAGCACAAACTCAGGAAACAGTTATACTGTTCATATTTTTACAAGCTGCCTCTATGTGTAGCTAAAGTGAATCATAAGCTAATCACTGCCAGCTGCCTCAGGCATTGCTGTAGCTTGCTAGCCACTCAAGCTTAAGGTATGAGGGGAATCTTTCATATGCCACATTAATCTCTCCCTGAAATTCACCTTCACTGACCATCCTGCACTTCTCTACTTTTCCAGTCACCCCACCTCTGTCCTAATGTAAAGACAGAGGGATTTGACCCCTGACCTTATGAGGCTTTGATATTTCTTTTACAAAGAAGGAATTTGATGATTTCAAAAATGCTCACATACTGATGAATAATGTAAACTTTGATCTGTGCTGGAAAAGGTTTACTTATAGAGATGGGAAATCGTTGCTCATTTCAGATCAGAGGCTTTTTAAACCTGACTGGATGGTTTGAGTCAGAGGAATGATGTAGGTGACTAAACTGCTGTTTGAAATGCTACCAGGAGATCAGAGGGACATTCAAACCTGGACTGTTTGAAGCCGCCCTGAAGTCATGAAATTGCTTGTGCTCAGGTATGCGGGCATGGACGTCATCTCCAGTAGCCTGCAGCTATTGTCAGAAACATTACAGCTCATCTTAATAAAGATAAGCTACCCGTGAAGTCTTGGCTCCCTGCACGGAGGCATGATGGGATGGAAAGCAACCTGAAGATTCATGAACAGTGCTGATCTGCTCCTCGTTCATCTTCCTTCACCTGCAGCTAACTGTCCCACTAGGGAGCGGGAATAAGACCCTGTTCTCCACAGGCCCTGCAAACTCCCCAAAACACCCTTCGCCTCCCCCCACTTTTTTTGCAGCCGACCATTAAGCCCCTCTGATGGATGACAGGGGCTTCTTTGGCACAGATCGGTGGGAACGCTTCTGTTTCTGGTTAGCAAACTAAAACAGTGTTTGAGAGACAGACAACGGCATCCTGGTTAAAGCTAAGCTAAAGCTAAGCCAGCCCTGAAGGCCCCGGCCTCCGTTAGTCCCAGAAAGATATCTGCCCCAAACTGAGCAGATCCACCTTTAATCACTATAGTCTCCTACTCTTATTCTTACTGTAAATCATCTGAATCTTTTCTCCCAGTTAACCGTTTGTGTAGTCGGGTTAATTGAAGGCAACACATTATTAACTGAGGCCCGCAAAATGAGTGACGGACCACATACTCGCCATGAGCGACTACCTCAAAAATGCTTTTGTTTGGCTTTTGAGACTGACACTCGTTTTCTGGCTCGTTGGAGAGCGATAATGGCTGGAAGAAAGACCGTGTAGAGTTACAAGCCGTGAACGTGCCCCCCCTTCCAGAGCGGGAACTTAATGTAGCTCTGTGCCGACTGTGCTGCCACTCTAATCCAATTAGCTTGCGTCAATCACTGCCGAGGTATCAAACCGCCTCAGACTAATATTTGCAGAGGGGCTCTAATATCAATACGCAGGTAAAGGCTGCAGCTCCCCACCCCCTCTGCAATTATATAACCACACTCGGGCGAAGCAGTGAATGACAACATTTACCGCCCGTCTCTCTGTGCTCGGAGGCCGCCGTGGTCGAACGACCGTTTCTGCGAGAGGGGCCCTGCGCGCACACTTGTGCCGCAGTGATTGCTGGGTGTATTTTAACTGGCATATCTTAATATTAGCTTCAGAAAAATGACACTGGTATTTACAAAGTAAAAGGAGTCTAAATGGCCCATTTGAGCCAGGGTAAACACATTTAGCCGTGAGGTCAGAGGCTGCCACACCGGAGGAAGGTTAGTTTGATAATTTTGTCAAAATGTTTAATGTCCTGCTAAACCGTTTGGGGAAAAACAAATGCAGCGCTGATATTGACTTTGGCAACAGCCTGTATACTTAAGGCTTTAAACATGTAAATCAAATGCTCCATCTTCAGGCAAATGCAAGCAGACATTTCATGCGCGGCGTGCTGCAGGTCTGACGCCTCGCCCCCGCCCTCCGTCTATACCGTGTGATCAACAGATAGAGCTCTGCAGCATGCGCCTTCGTGAGAGCTCTTTTAGGTCATCTCGAGTTGCTGAAATGTGCAAATTTGGGAATTGCTGTCGTTTTAATGTAATGCTGTCATCACGTTACTCGCAAGTATGTGCGTGAAAAGGGAGCTACGTCATTGGACCACATGTAGGTAAAAAGGGGGACTATCACCAAGCTGCACCGGCATGTTCCTCATCACGGACAGGAACAGATGCAGTCCGACTCTCACTTCCAATATGTCGCCCTGCCCGTGCAGCCGAGTATCCCCTCCCAAAGTCCTTTTCACTTTCCCTGCCTGTGCTCGCGCTGCTAATTGTGCGTGCTGCTGAGAAAAGAGCCGCAGAAACCGCGAGGTAATTTTGACAGGCTTCTCCTTCTGCTTTCAAGGCTTGAAACAACACGCCAGCTTCCAGATGCTTCCCGGCCATCCCGACGTCTCTTGAGCGCCGCTCGGACGTTTACATCCAGGCGGTTTCGCCGCTCTGCTCGGCCGCGAGCGGTCTGCTGTACCTCACACCCCAATCATAACCAATCACGTGTATTTCCTGGATATGTAAACTCGCCCCCCACACACGGAGACGCACACATAAGTACAAATGTATGTGCAGCTCTTTAAAGTAAGGAAGCCATCAAAGATCATTCTGGAATATGCGGCTGTTGTATATACACCCACAGAGGGGAGCGCAGAGTTAAAAGAAAGCATGTTTATGTAACACAATCACTTTTGTAACACAGTTTATGATGCTTGATTCCATCCACTCTTTCTCAATGTTATTAAACTGCACAGGACTGTTTTCCTTCCCTACCTCCCTGGTTTTTAGACACATTGCTTTAGCACAGCACACACTGTGCCTCCTGACGACACCCGGGTTCTGTAACTCTGCTCTGCAGGCTCTCTGGGGAAATCATCAGCACTAATAGGAAACATCCTGCAAATCACACACATGCACACACTCAGAGCTGCTCGAGCTGTTGTCGAGCAAGGCAGTCGCACCTCGGAGAGCTGCGGGTTTTGTGCGTCGACTTTAAGCGGGAGCTCTGCAAAGATACAGTTAATTAACGAATTCCCCGGATCGTGGATTGGTTCAATGGAAGCACATTTGTCTTGACTAAAGATGTAGCAACACTGGTGTTCTTGCTAAACCGTATTCAGTTTTATTGCTTCTTAAAAGTATCTCCAGATGTGCTTATTTTCACAATTACCTGAAAGATGCATCACTGGTTTAAACGTCACTTTGTTGCTTGCATTTGTTGCATAGCTGAACACCAGCAGTATATCAAGGTCTATAAAATGTAATCTCGTTTTTAAAGAGAAGCGCTTGATGGTGAAAGAGCTCGCAGAACATAAACACAAGAGGACGATGCTATCACACGGCTTTGATACGCTCACCAAAGTGTGAACCGTGACCGCTCGAAATAGAGCCGGTGATGTGTCACATTGACCGCGTGGTGACCAGCACTGCCCGTCTTCCCACGAGGGAAGTAAGAAAGCCAAGATGGGTTTGTCAGCAGGACCACGAGGCTTAACCTAACATGAGCTAAGAGGGTTCGGCCGGGACTCGGGATGATAAATAGGTGAAAAATAATGGAGGCAGAGGGTGTAAAGTGTAATCATAATATAAGAGAAGAACAGCGTTTGCACTTTCACTGAACTTTGTCATGCACGTTGTTTGTACGCAGTAAAACAAACACTCGGTGTCCTTTGACCTTTTCAAAACATGATGTGATATGACTGTTTGCAGGATTATTCATTCATTAATCAGATTCATGTTTACATTTCCCACCCTTCATGACACATCTCTAGTCTCCCAGCGACCCTTCGGAGCGACAGACCTCAACGTCTAAACACAAATCGAGGGTTTGTTACTCACCCGTCTCTCGTGCCGTCCATGGCAGCCAGCGGGGACAGGTGGTGAGGGCTGCCGAGGTCTCGATCCAGTCGGTGCTGTCGGGTCGGCAGGTCAGCGGTGGAGCCGGAGTTGGGGGTGGGGGCGAGCAGCTCCACTGGGGCGCTGTGATGGGGGGTACTGGAGCCAGTGTACAGGCCTGAAAGACAAACAAAGCTAATTCGGTAAACGTGCCAAATAAACTCAAGGCCCCCGTGCTTCATCTCTCCCTCGAGCAAATTAAAAGCCATTTCATGGCAACGGGATTTTGTTTTGACAACTTTCATCCAATCAGTGTGCTTCGTAAAATAAAAAGTTCTGTGTTTGCGCTGTGTGTAATTTAGGGTACATTGTTTGTGCTGCCACAGGGACTGGCCTTGTTTGTCCTCTTTCTTATTACACAATAATAAACTAAAACGTTACATGTGTTCAGTGACTTTGAACAGTAGGTCCTTTAAAAAGAGGAATAAAGCTACAAATATATGATATAAGGAAATCTGCAGAAGAGCATGTGATAATTTGCTGACTGTTCCAATATGTCTTTTACTTTTTGATCGTTTCAGTTTTTCCAAATTATATTACAGTTACATGTTGGTGATGCACTGGTCTGCGGGGGCATTATTATCTTCTTTTACTGGTTGCATGTTGCCAACCTTTTCTACTGTTTCAAGCTGCAAACTGTTATTAAATACGGACTCCTTTTCTTCTTTGCAAACTGGGAACTGCAAATAATAACTGTCACAATGGATTTTACTATTATCGTCTTTAGCGAAGATGCTTCCAAAGACCAATTTGATAACAAAAACGGGCTGTTTTGTCCAAAAATGAATCCCAGGGGTGTTTATTTTAAAAGGATAAAAAAA